CTGTTATGAATCGTAATGTAAATATCTTTTTGTTTTCCGATGGTCTTAGGCGACCCCTGTGAAAGGGTCGTTCGACCCCCAAAGGGGTCACGACCCACAGGTTGAGAACCGCTGTTCTAGGCAATAGAAGGCTTGTGTGACTTGAGCTCAGTGGAGTGAGGGAAGATTGAGGTGAAGAGAGGCTGCTGAAGGTGGATGGAGGCCAAAACATGGGAAATTGTAGGCCATGGTGAGGAGTTAGGATTTTATTCCAAGAGCACAGGGAAGCAGTCGAGGGTCTTAAACAAAGGGATGAGTGTCCATATTCTGTTTTAAGATCATTTTTCTGTCTGTAATTGGTCTGGTGAATGGATGAGAGCAGCTAACGAGTAAAGGCAGGGAGACCAGTGGGAAGGCTGCTGTAGGATCCAGATGAGAGCTTATAATGGTCTGATCTAGACTGCAGGCAGGAGAGGGTGACAAGTACATAGATGTCATATATAATTTTGAAGTAGAATTGGTAAAACTATTTTGAGACCAAATATAATCCTTCAATTTTCTTTCTAGTTCATCCCCTTCCCTTTTCTGCTTCCAAATAGAAAAGTAACTAAGGATTCAGTCTTTCTCGTCAAATTAGCAGGTGTAAGAGGAAGCTGACTTTCTTAAAATGGAAATTTAACCGGAATTTGAAATAAATTCAATAGTATAGAATAGTTTTATTTTCCTTCGTTTTTCTCTCTTGTGTGTGTCTTGCAAATGTTTACCTGTTAGTATTGATTTCTATTTGCTAGACGACAGTTGTCCCTTGCTTACAAGAGTAAGTGGCTATTGTATCACTGATAAATATTTTCATAATATTTAAGAAGAACAATATTTTCTAAATATCAGTGTTTTCGTTATGTAACTTTAGCCCATTTTAGGAATACCTACTTTAATTACCATATTCATGCCAATGCTTTTAATAAATGGATGATTTTAACAGCTGGTTTTGTATTGTGACATTTTTATTGAAACGCTAATCAAACAATATATATAAAAGGAGTATTGTTTATGTTTCTTCCCTCCTTACCCCCTTCTTTTCTTCATTTATCTTTTCTGGTATCTAAATGATTTTCTTCCTTGTTGTGCATCTTCCTGTGCAAATGTTTCCTCTGGCTGCATGGGACAACAACTAATACATGAAATGATTTCTACATTAGTCTGGGTAAGCAAGAAATGAAACAAAGGAAATAACAGGGTGTGAGTCATAATTGTTCAAATTCCTTAAATGTAATCATGTATAATTGATGCCTAATACTTTCACATCAGGTCTGTCAACTATTGAAACATGTTTCTCAAGAATAATTTTTTTGTTCAAAGATTACAACTGGCAAGTTGGGGATTGACATTTTGGGGGGAAGAAACTCTAATCGTATGTTATTATTTTATTACTATAAAGTTCTGTTTAAATTTGGTCTTTAGTGAACATGCGGGTCATGTACATTTCATTTGGCATACTTTCATAACTGGTAAAGTAGCTATTTAAAAAAAGTCATGAAGGCATGCTCATATTTGAGCAGGGCTTGAACTCTGCTGCACATACTAATGGAACAAATCCTCCAAAGAAAATTAATATAACTATATAGTCAAGTTTTTATGGATTAAAGACCTCAAAATTTGAATTGTATGTAGAAGTACGTTCTTTTATTTCAACCGTTATGAACTCCTCCTTTCTGCAAGGTCCTGTGCTAAGTTCTGCAGGGAGCTGTGATTCAGAGGATAAAGCAGACTTAAAACTTAATTATAATCTATTCTATTTATATAATAATATTATATTGATTCTATATTTGCAAAGATCCTTCTTTTTAAAAAAATTTGGGCCCTATTATCTTACCTCATGTCTCCCTTCTTAAGTAGAATAGTCTACTGTGTTCCTTTCAAATGAAGGTAAAGTTACAGACACCATCTCCTTTAATATTAGAAATGAACTACTCTCTGAGGGTTTAAAAAGTACTAGATGATGTATTACAAAATTGTACACCTGAAACCTATGTAACTTTACTAACAATTGTCACCCCAATAAAGTTTAATTTAAAAAAAGAAAGTACTTGAGTTAACATTTGGGAGTGAGTTTTAAGTCATTTGAACTGGAGAGAGAAATACCTGGCATGGCCTCCAACATGGTTTTTGTTTTTTTGTTTGCTTACTTGCTTTTGCCTTCTTTTGTGTAAATTGAATTGCTGTGTAATACTTTTTACATTTAAATAAACTGTATAATTGATCTTATTTCCATAGATGTTTATTTTAAAAATCACTGACCTGAAATTTGCTATATTTGCTGTAAAAAGTATTAATGGGTATTCTCCAAGTTTGGCTAATATAGTACAGATCTTTGTGCTGTGAACAGGTTGCAGGACTCTAGATGTGCTGAGATTTTTATTTTCTCAGTCCTTGAAGCAGCCAGGTGGGTTTGGGTGGCCCAAACCACCAAGCTAGAGCCCCTTTTTGCAGCACTGGTTACCATGACATGACTAACATTGGGAAACATTGACAGAGGGATTAGGATGTAGGCTGTGTGTAGAAAGATTATGGATGGGGACACTGATGTGTAATGAGGGATTGTTGTATATTTTTAAGCCAAATAATTTTTTCAGGTCAGTGATTTTTAAAATAAATGTCTATGGAAATAAGATAAATTCTGTAGTTTATTTACATGTAAAGCGTATTACTTAGCAATTCACAGCTCTCAAAATGTTCTCACACACATGTTAAACAAACTCAGAAGAGTCTGGAGGCTTTGCTAGAAATAAATGAAGATTTATTCAAGGATCTTAGAATTTGCAAACCAGAAACAAAGCTAGGCAAAAACTCAAAAGTGTTCTGAAGGAGAAAGAAAGGTTGAGAGTTCTTAGAATAAAACTCACATCCTTGAGAATAATCAGTCCTGCATTCTTAGCCACAGGATTAGTCCAGAAGAATTATCAGCCAGATGGCAGGCAGCCTGGATGATAGATGCCAGGTGGTGTAGGGGATGGGAGCCAGGAGGTCTGGTCATGTCCTGAGTCCTTTAGTGGGTAGTCAGAGTGTTATTTATAGTTAAATAAATGTCTGGGCATTGACACAGGACTGGACAGTTCAAAAGCTTAAGTTCCCAGACTAATTAAAGCAAGAATAGAACCATGTTCACATGCCTTAGCCCACTTGGTTTTAACAATTTAGCAGCTTGACTGACCATAGTGACTCCATTTTATTTCTTCGCTCTTTTGCTCACATGTATTTTCTCAGTTGATCTTTCTAGTAATCCCACAGGGATGCATGATGGGGAGCAAACTGTCTCCAAAGCTTCCGTAACGTTCAGAGATTTAAAGGACTTATGTTGAGCACTTTGTAGCATTATAGCTTCATTTTATTAATAAATTTAAAAGGCATGCAGATTTCAAAAGGAAAACAGAAGTGTTCATAGCTTCTATTTTGTGTAGGAAACAATGCCAGTTCTGGAAGTTTGCTAAATATTACTCTACTTATTTCGCTATCGCTAAGGCCAGGGAAGGGGCTTTTAGAAGACTTCGCCACAAATTACTTAATTGCTATAAGCCTCAGTTTCCTCTTCTACAAGAAGGAATTAAAACAATACTAACATCATAAGGTCAATGTATGGACAAAAGGAGAAAATATGTGTAAAACACCTATTTCACAGTCTAAGTCCTCATTAAGCATCATGTTATATTGACCCATTTCATAAGACTTATGAGTATGTATGATAATTTTTGTTACTTCTCCCAGGTACAACAAAAATTTAGAAGAAGCTAAAAGAATTGGGATAAAGAAAGCTATTACAGCCAACATTTCTATGGGAGCCGCATTCCTGCTGATCTATGCATCATATGCCCTGGCATTTTGGTATGGGACCTCCTTGGTTCTCTCAGGAGAATATTCTATTGGAGAAGTGCTCACTGTAAGTGATGTTGTATTAAGAAAAGAATCACTATTGAAAATGCCAATGAAATCAAGTGGTGTTGGCTTGACTGTTGAAGAATATATCTTGAAGAACGATTTAGTAACACAGAGACATACATCAGTAGGTTAAAAAATGGAAAGGAAATTAGATGTATTCAACAACCAGTTTTGTCTTTTTTATAAACTTTATTGGAGAACCATGTGTTTTTTCGGGGAACAGTGTATTTTCCCAGGACCCATCAGCTCCAAGTCAAGTTGTTGTCCTTCAGTCTTAGTTGTGGAGGGCGCAGCGCAGCTCTAAGTCCAGTAGCCACTTTCAGTCTAGTTGGGGGGGGGGCGTGGCCCACCATCCCATGCAGGAGTCGAACCAGCAACCTTGTTGTTAAGAGCAAGAACTCTAACCAACTGAGCCACCCGGCTGCCCAGTTTTGTCTTTTCTGTAGATCCCCCTTGCATAGTTTATCCTGTAGCCTAAATAATATTAACATCAGCAGTCTTTATAGCACGAACTTTCATTTGTTGAGATTATTTTTTGTGCCAGATTCTATGCTAAGGACTTCACTTTTGTTTTCTGATTTACTGTCCATAACAACAAATGGCAAAGTACACAATTTAACTTCTTTTCAAAATCTTTTGAATGACAGATAGTCCACCTTGCCAATTTATGGAAGTATAAATTGTTACTCTTCCTAAAATAATATTCTATTTGGGGATTCTCTGCCTTATAGATCTTTGTACAAGTATAGAAGGCTTGCCATTTGATGTCATCCTTTTTTATTTAACGACAGTGAAATAATACACAACCCAGCTCCACCTGCATCTTGATCTAATAAAATACATATTGTTAGAAGTGTTACTCAGTTCCTTTTTCATAGGCCAACCACAAGTATATTAAGTTAATGATGGAATGTATTTTGTTGAGTTCCTTAAAACAGTTCCCTTTCTAAGGAAACAGATTTATAATGTGAGTGTAATATTTGAGTCTCTTGTTTTTTTCAAACTGTTGCTTCATCCAGAATGTGTGGGGCTATTTAGTTAAGAATGGTTTTTACCAAAAAGCTTTCATTAGGATAGTGATGGTGTGAGTGAACCTAGGTTGTGATAAGAGGTGTATTCTACTTGTGATGTAGATAAGCAGTTTTAAACCTAATATTCACTGAACCCAGGTCTGCCTTACAAATTGGAAGCATCCAGATTAGTGACTAAGAGCATGGGATTTGAGATTGGACCAACTTGGTTCAAGTTCCAGCTGTGCAACTTTTAGCTGTATGATTTGGGGCAGCCATCTACACTTTTCAAGCCTCCATTACCTCTTCTGCCAAATGGAAATGACAGTATTCTTGTAAGGACTAACGGAGAAAATGCATATAGAATCGCTTAGCTAAATCCCTTCTATGTAAATTATTGGGTAATATAATTCCTGTGTGACTTAGTAAGAAATGAATACTGACATTAATTCTCTTTAACCCTGATGAGAAACAAAGTCAAGTCTTTACCAATACGAAACTGATTTGGACAAAACAAAAAAAAAACAAAAACCTGTTTCTCTGACCTCAAAGAGAACACAGTTTGGTGAAGGAAAAAAGACTTAACCTAATCAAGAACAGTGTCGTAGATGTGTGTGCTTTATAATTTACAAAATATTTTCATATATACTGTTTCATTTGATACACCAACTCTAAGGTTTCTAGGTAGGGAAAACAGATAGAATCTTACCTTATTTTTGCTAACGAAGAAATTGAAGCTTGTTTGTTTCCACTGTCTTTTGCAAATGATCTAAACCAAAATTTTTGGCCATTCAAGAAATATTAGAATATTCTATTACAATACTCTGGGCCTATAGAACTTACACCATTGTTTCAGTGAGCGAGTAAGACTAATTCTGTATTCTAAATTGAAAAGTACTGAAACTTTTATAATATTTTTTTTTAAAGATTTTATTGGGGAATTGGGGGAGGGGAGCAGCATTGGGGAGTTGGGGAAGGGGAACAGACAAGTTGCTGTCCTTTTGTTCTTCAGTCTACTTGTGGAGGACGTTGCTTCACTGGCCCATGTTGGTAATCCAAACCGGGCCCTGCTGCTCAGAGCTGGCATCCCAAGCCAGCTCTTAACCAACATGCCACTTGGCCGGCTCTTAATAATATTTTTGACACCCAGTATTCATTCATATGTTGCCTTGTCATTTTAAAATTCTATCAGTTGTGTTATAAGAAGGAAGTATGAAAAAAAATCTTACTAAATAACTTGATGGTTTCTCCTTTACATTCCTCAGGTCTTCTTTTCTGTATTAGTTGGGGCTTTTAGTGTTGGACAAGCATCTCCAAGCATTGAAACATTTGCAAATGCAAGAGGAGCAGCTTACGAAATCTTCAAGATAATTGATAATGTAAGTCTGGGCTGGCTGTTTATCTTTCTAAAAGTTTTTCCACTTAAAAGCAGATTTCTTTATCACTTGATCCAATTCTCCACAAATGTCACTAAAAGTAGTTATTGTAACCTAGTAATCTTCTGAAATTTTATTCTGTTTAGAAGCCACGCATTGACAGCTTTTCGAAGAATGGGCACAAACCAGAAAATATTAAGGGAAATTTGGAATTCAAAAATGTTCACTTCAACTACCCATCTCGAAAAGAAGTTCAGGTACAATGATAAATGATTACTCGATGATTCAACAATGTATTGGATAAAGAGATTGTCATACTTTCCTTTAGAGATTGTAAAAAAAAAATATATGTACATTTAAACCTGGTTTTGAATTCAACTGTCAGTTCATAGTCTCAGTATCTGTGTATTGCCTTTAAGTTAAGTTTATGTTTCATTCGTCTTGATAGATCTTGAAGGGCCTCAACCTGACGGTTCAGAGCGGGCAGACGGTGGCCCTGGTGGGGAACAGCGGCTGTGGGAAAAGCACTACGGTCCAGCTGATACAGAGGCTCTATGACCCCACCGAGGGCGTGGTGAGATGGCTCTTGCCGAACTAGATGCTGCAGCGATTAGCAGTACCGTTGCCGATCACACATTACCACTCTGCAATGTATGAAATTCACACCTACTTTATATTTCAGGTCAGCATCGATGGACAGGACATCCGAACCATCAATGTAAGGTATCTGCGGGAAATCATTGGTGTGGTGAGTCAGGAACCTGTGCTGTTTGCCACCACAATAGCCGAAAACATTCGTTATGGCCGTGACAATGTCACCATGGATGAGATTGAGCAAGCTGTGAAGGAAGCCAACGCCTATGACTTTATCATGAAACTGCCTAATGTAAGTCCTTCTTGATCTTTGTCATGCTAGAGGCTCAAAGAATGGAATACTGACCTAATGCATAAAACGTTAGGAAGCTATAAATTGGAGGAGGGAAGTCAAGATTATTTCCGATTTTGAAGTTCCAGCACCATCAACTAGTAATTGGCATATTTTTTAAAAGCGAGGTTGGTTATTGCTAAATTGTAAGGAACTAGACCGTATTGCCTGTGAGACTGGTGGTGTTGAGGGGTTTCTTCCCATCTTAAAGTGGGAGCTGAGATAGCCTATTCTTTTGCTAAATCCTCCTGTGTTTTCTGTGTTGTAGAAATTTGACACCCTGGTTGGAGAGAGAGGGGCCCAGCTGAGTGGTGGACAGAAACAGAGAATCGCCATCGCTAGGGCCCTGGTTCGAAACCCCAAGATCCTGCTGCTGGATGAGGCCACGTCAGCCCTGGACACTGAAAGTGAAGCCGTGGTCCAGGCAGCCCTGGATAAGGTTTGTGAGCCTCAGTCAAACCGACCTGATTTATAAGCATGAGAACATCCAACCGTTAATTATTCTCAATATTTTTTTTTGAAAAAGGAAATTTCTACCATTTCTAGTGATTCCTTTTGCTATCAAAATAAAATCAGTAGGCCTCTGGGTCTGTTGGTTGAATTATTATTTATTTATATTATTTTTGTTTTGTTTTTTTAAGTAGCAATGAATAAAATTTTGCCGAAAGGCACTTTGAAATTTTTTAAGTTAAACAATAAGAAATATAGACTCCAGTGAAAATTGGTCTTCGTTGTAATCTTGAAAAATTAGCTTTAGAGATAATCCTGTTTTTATAGATTTTCTGAGATTTTAGTGTTGCGAACAAAATATAATTTCAAGGCTCACATTTCATTTCCAAGATGTTCAATGCCTAATGCATTTAATGGGAAATGAGAAACCTCTCACCCCCAGGAGAGGGGCAGAGTGCTAATGTTGTTGGCAATGCACCTGAGCCATGAAATGTCCTTGACCCTGAACAGGGTTTGACCTTCCTGCAATGCCTGAGTCCATGACTCATTCACCAAATTCTGTTGGATTGCTTACTCTATGCCAGGCATTGTGGGCCTGGTCTCTGGCATATCGTGGGAACCACCCTGAGTTGAAGTGTCACAGTAGATTTCAAAGATGAACTCAGATTGTTCCAACTCTTCTCCTCTCTAAAAACAAAACAACACTGCATATTCCTTTAAATATCCTGTCATTGTGTTTAATAGATTGTTGAGGGAGGAAAAAGAAGGTTACTGAAAATGTTGTGAACCAAAATAGAGGCACGCGGGACCGTGGCTGCTTTTTCTCCCTTCACTTTATCTGCAATTTTCTTCTTAATTTACAATAAAACGGTATATGAAATTATAAATAAAAACGATTTTAAAGGTTGCATTTAGTAATACTTTTTCTTTAGAATGTAAATTTGGGGGGTGGAATTCCACATGCCCCCCTTTTCTAGAAAACATCCAAAAAATTGAGCCATTGTCTTCTTTACTTTCTAGTTGCTACCACCTAGTTTTCCTACATGTTTTTTTTTCTTCTCTTTGAGTTCTCTACTTCTCCTTTTCATATTGATCCTCATACCTTTTTTTTTGTTAGTTTGTTTTGAGGATTTTATTGTTAGTTCCTGAGAAATACAGAGTAGCAAACATCCTAAGCATTGGGAAAATTACACAGGCTAAAGAAATCTCAGACAAGTTCTGGTTACCTGGCTGTGTTTCGGATTAAAGTAAAAATGAGATTGTAAAAACATTTACGCAGTTCTTCAATGTTGCCGTACTGCTTCTACCTAGGCATATCATTTATTAGTATCATTTATTAAGTACCTACTGTGTGTACGTCACCATGCTTCCTGTGCATTATTTTATTAGTCATCACAGGTACTCTTAAGAAATGAGTACTGTTCTCCCTGTTTTATATAGGAATAAATTGAGCCTCACACAGGTTAAAAGATTTGGATAAAATCGTGGAATTCATAAATGGCAGAACTAAGATTTGAATTCAGATCAATTTCACACTGAAGTCTGGACTTTGCTGCCTCACACTAATGCTCCATCTAGATTATCCAAATGTCCTGTGAAATAGCATATTGTGATTTCCAGGACTGATTGCTGGCTGTTGCATCAGTACAGCACACTGGCCTGTGTCTGCTCTGATTGGCCAATGCCTGGGCTATAGGGTTTGTTACTTTGTAAGCCCCTGATTATTACTATAAACTTAGGCTGACAGAGGTTAATTAAGTAAAATACTTAGAGGCATACATAATATTAATATGTGACTATCATATTTATGCTTATCTTTATTATAATAAAACATCATTTAAACCATTATCAATCGATATACATTTATTGAAGCTAGAGACTGCCTTATATAGCTTGGATGGTCTTACAGTGTTTAGTAAATACAAATTGAGTGAGTGGATTTTTGCATATAATTGGTTTTTTGCATATAATTTTTGCATATAATTGCATGTATTCAAACGTCACATTTTCTTCTCTTTAGGCCAGAAAAGGCCGCACCACCATTGTGGTAGCTCATCGGTTGTCTACAGTTCGTAATGCTGATGTCATTGCTGGTTTTGATAATGGAGTCATTGTGGAGAAAGGAAATCATGATGAACTCATGAGAGAGAAAGGCCTTTACTTCAAACTTGTCACAATGCAGGTATAGTCTAACTCAAGAATTTTTCTAAAGTATTTGCTGATTTCGCTGTTTAGTGCTATAAATAAATGTCACTTAACTTGATTATCTTGAGAAATGGGCGAAAAAATACTAGGGAGGTTCAGGATTAGACCAGTGTTTTAGATATATATTTTTTTTCCTCTTTAAAGGAGGGAAAATAAAAAAGGATGATTACAGAAAGTTAAAGAGAAGTTGTAAAAGGTTTAAAAGGGAGCTATACACTGACTGCAGTAGCCACTAGCCATATGTGGCTATTGAGCACAACGGTGGTAAATCTGAATTGAAATGTCTGTAAATAGAAAATACCAGATTCTGAGGACAAGAAAATAATGCAAAATAGCTCAATAAGTGTTTATATTGATTACATGTTAAAATACTAGTATCTTGGATACATTAGGTTAAATAAAATATATCATTAAAATTGACTTTACTTCTCTCACATTTTTTAATGTGGCTACTGAGAAAATTTAAATAACAACTGTGGCTCCCAGTATGGCTTGTACCATGTTTCTGTTGGCAGCACTGGTCCAAAGCAAACATTACTGAGTCAAAAGCACCCACCAAAAGGAGATGAATAGATAAGCTACGTGGAATGGATACCCTGTTATTTCAGCATGTTTATTGGGCATCCTGTTTATTCAGTGGTTTTAATTTTCACATAGATTACAAAAAAAAAAAAAGAAACAGTTTAACTTGATCCTTTCCTGTATTTACTCAGATTATTATTTTCCTTGAGATCTGATTTATAGTGATTAATTTTCATTGGTTAACTGAGTGAGCCTAACCAGCTTATGCTTATGTCTTGCTTATTTTAGACAAGAGGAAATGAAATTGAGTTCGAAAATGTAAATGGTGAAACCAAAAATGAAATGAATGCGTTGGAAATGTCTCCAAAGGAGTCAGGATCCAGTCTAATAAGAAGATCAACTCGCAAGAGTATCCAGGCAACGCAAGGCCAAGAGAGAAAGCTTAGTACAAAAGAGGCCTTGGTATGGAGAAGGATGCAGGGTTTTATGTCTTCAATCCTCCCGCTGTGGCTCCCCTAGTTTGGTGGGCTAGGGCTGGGGCAGGAGTGGGAACAGGAAAAGGTTATCAGGAATCCTTCTGTCCCATCCCCCAGAGCATTCCACAAACCAAACTCTTAACTTTTTAGACTTGGGTTAGAATTTGTGAATGAGAATTTATTAGGACAGAATTTTTAGAATTAGAATTTATAATGTAAAGAGACAGAGTATAATGCGTCTTCAAGTATAAACGTTTCTATTCTTTTATCCCTACTTGCAAATATTCCAAATGTTAAATGTTTGTGGAAACATTTATTTCTTAAAAAATGGAGGAGTAGGGCCGGCCGAGTGGCGCGATGGTTAAGAGCTGGCTTGGGACGCCAGAGGGCCCTGGTTCGGATCCCACATATGAAGGCCAGTGATGCTGCCCTCTACAGCTAAGATGCTGAACAACAGCTCAACCTGGAGCTGGGCTGCCGTGAGTCGCCGGCAACGGCGTAGGCTGCAGCCCCTGTGGCAGTGGGTTGCCATGGGCTACCATGTGTGACCGGCGGCTGGTGTGAGCAGCCAGCAGCCACGGTGGGCGGCCATCCAGAGGCCGGCGACTAGTCTGCCTCGTCTGGGAGGAGCGTAATGATGGTGCCAGCTTGGGCCAGTGGAGCAATGTCCTCCACAACTAGACTGAAGAACAAAACGACAGCGACTTGTCTGTTCCCCTTCCCCTAACTCCCCAGCACTGTCCCCATCCCCCCAGTTCCCCAATTAAAAAAAAAATCTTTAAAAAAAGAAAAATAGAGGAGTAATATAATAGAACCTGTCAGAACTTTAAAAAAAAAAAACAAAATAGCCATTAACTGATGAGGAACAAAGAATTAGGAATATTCATTAATAATTTTTTGTGCATATGGAAGAACTGTTTGCTATGTAATCAGTTAAGTATCAATTCTTTTTCTAACTAGCCTGTTGTAATATTTTGTGTTTTCCAGGATGAAAATGTACCTCCAGTTAGCTTTTGGAGGATTCTGAAACTGAATATAACCGAATGGCCTTATTTCGTGGTTGGTATATTTTGTGCCATTATCAATGGAGGCCTGCAACCAGCGTTTTCAGTAATATTTTCAAAGATCATAGGGGTAAGTGTTTATGTTTACTTTTTGGATTCACTTTCCAGTCCTGACTAAAGCATAAACTGTTTGTATTTGTAACTATACAAAAAATATGTACCTTCATATGAAATGAAGCAGCTTGAAGATGTAAGAATAAAAGTTTGGTTTGTGATAGGAAAGCTAGTTTTTTTCATCTTTCTTTGTCCTGAAGCCAGTTTTTACTAGGGCCCTGGGGACTGGATCCCTGAAGTAGTCAATGAAACCAGTTAGGGGACTGTCCTTCACCTGCTATCACCGGGCTTGGAGTAAAGCTCATAAAATGTTCTATCACCAGTGTGCAGAGTTCCTGGTGCATTTGTCTGAGAGGCCGGAGAGGGCGCTGTTCTCTGACATACATACACACTTTGTCAGGACATGAGCAGGCCTAACATGCTACCTCTGTAATATGTCCATCCCACATGTTAAGATGGAAACAAAGGGAATGGTTTCGGAAAAATTGAGATTGTCATGTGTTGGTTGCACCTGCTTTGAATGATGGCATTTTCAACAATAAAGTTGCAATCCAGGCAGGAATGCTTTATTGTTTCGTGACAGATAGTCAAACATCAAGCTGAGGATACCCTTTGCCCTAATTTCTGGAAGAGATTGATCATTACACAAAGCACAGGCCAAACCCTAATATTTGATGACATCAAAAAACCCATAAAACAAATTGGTAGTCACAAAATAGTCACGGGGATGTAAAATACAGTATGGGGAACATAATCAATAATGTTATAAAGATTATGTAAGGTACCAGATGGGTACTAGACTTATCGGGGGGATCGCTTCATAGACTGTGTAGATGCCTGACTCTGCTGTATGCCTGAAGCTGAAGTAGAATAATATAGATTGTCAACTATAATTTTATACACACACATACACACACACACACACACACACACACACACACACACACACACACACACATATATATATGAAGAGGCGGGGGAGAGTCATGGGCTGTAAAGTACGGCATAGGGAATATAGACCAAGGGTATTGTAATAGCTATGTACGATATCAGACAGGTAGTAGACTTGGGAGGGTTATCACTTTGTGAGGGGTGTAAATTTCTAATCATTGTTTTGTACACCTGAAACCAATATGTAAAAAATAAAAGTAAATTAAAAAAAACAAAAACAAATATTCAGGTCTGCCCATGCCAGGTTAACTTATTTCAGGTTGACATTCATATGTTTAATGTATTTATTCAAGAAATATTTTTTCAGTGTCTGTCTTGTGCCAGGTACTATTCTAGGTTCTGAAAAAATTACCAAGAAGGAAATAAAGTGACCGATTGCACATTCTAGGTCAGGGATTAACAAACTTTTTCTACAAAGCGAAAGACAGTAAATATTTTAGGCTTTGCATGCTATTTTGGTCTCTGTTGCAAACACTCAACTATGCCATTTAGTACAGAAGTAGCCATGTTAAAATGTTACATAAACATTTGACTGGATAGTTTGTGGATTCCTGTTCTAACATTTGCCTTGCAGACAGAGAGGTAAATAATAGCATCATAAGAAAAAAGTGGAATTGGATTAGTTAGGAATGGGTTTACTGTTTACTCATTTCTTATGTAATAATAGGCCTGACAGCAGGTGTTCCAGGGCTAACACATTAGCTCCTAGATACTGGGTAGGAAACCAAGCTACCTGCCTCATTGAAAGTTTGCAACACAGAGTTTATGGCTGTGGGCTCTGAGTTAGATTGCTTGGGTTTATACCCTTGGGTCATCGCTTGGTGGCTGTGTTACCTTGAATGAGTTAATTAACCTCTCTGTGCTTCAGTTTTCCTCTGTGTAAAATAGTGATGATAATAACACAAACCTCAAGAGGTGTTTATGAGGATAAAAGGAATCATATACACGAATTTGCTTAGAATAATGCCTGGCACAAAGTAAGAGCTCACTGATTGGTAGCTATTATTTTTGTTGGAATGACTAATCAAGAACAATTAATTTCTTCGAAAATGCTTTTCTCCTTTACAAAGGGTAAAGTTGTCTGGGCTCAGTTAGGAATGTGGCTCTGTTGCAAGACTGATTTTAGCCCACTGTGAAGGGTGATGTTTGTTTTCTTTCTTTGTGCAGCAATAATTCTCTTTGTTCCTGGAGCCTAAGACATCCTATTAGCTCTTCTGACCATTTCTAGAAAGGTCTCTGTGTGTGGTGTTGTGTCAGCTGGCTGTAGCTCCCCACTGGCTATCTAATAACTGGCCATTCTACAAAGAAGGCTGGCTCCAGGAACTGCCTTTATTCCTGAAAAAGCTGCGCTGATTGAATGACCACGTCTCTCTAGTTCGCCAAAACCACATCAGCAGATTTGTCTCCAGACACCTTGGGACAGTTTGAAATGTCCAAATTATAAAATAACGAATTGCAATGCAATATAGTTTCCCACCAAAGGAGAGAGGATTGATTCTCAGTTCTACTTTACATAGTGGGTGTGGCAGAAAAAGTGTTGGATTGATTTATGATTGAGAGACCCGTTATTGGCCAAGGAAGGGAATATACACACACCTGAAAGTTTGGGATTCAGGAAGCCAACCCTGACTGCCATTACACGATGGCTTTCTTGGCTCCCAAATACTGTGCTACATGGGAAATGGGTCAGACCCAGTGACTTCTTCAGTGATTTAATCAATACCCTTTAAATATTTTCTTAACAGATTTTTATCAGAGATGATGATCCTGAAACAAAACGACAGAACAGTAACACTTTTTCACTGTTGTTTCTAATCCTTGGAATTATTTCTTTTATTACTTTTTTCCTTCAGGTAAAGTGTCTACATTTTCATTTTATTCATTTTGGGAAATGCATCATTATTCAAATGTGGGAATTTATAAACATCTGTGTCATTTGCTTTTTAGTAGAATTGCTCCTGTATTCATAGGGCTATTCGCAGCCAAGTTTCTTTTGATATTTAAAACACAGATGTTTCGCTTCCTCTGGTTCCCTTGCTTACCTCCTTCTTTCCGCTCTCCCTTCCCTCAGCTGAAATATTAATGAGGGAACAGAGAAAACAAATTAAGTGCTCTAAAAGATTAGTATGGTAAGGCAGGCAGTATGGGTTTTGGTGTTAGACCTAGGGTTGAGTACAAGTTGAACCAGTTTCTAATTTTGTATCCTTGGGCAAATAAGTGATTTACTCTGTCTAAGCTTCAGTTCCCTTATCTGTACAATAGGGATAATGGGACCTGCCTCTAGATGATTAAAAAGAGCTAATTAATGTGACTAAGTTTCCAGGTGTGTTTGAGGCAGTTAGAAACACAATCACATATTGAATGAATGAATGGTTAACCACATATAATTTTTTAAGACAAAATTCTAAGTTGGTCTCTTTATTTAGAATGTTGTAAGCATGTATTATTTTTTATAGAACATTGTCCTGGACATTGTTTAGGAGGTACAAAAGAAAAAGACTGAACACCTTCTTTACTAAGCTCTTAAAGTCTCATTGGGGAATTTGACCTTACTATAATAGATGTGACATTAATCATATACAACATGGCCATGCCAACTCTTAATGCTGTAGGCGTTGGGAGAAGGTCAAGATTGCTGAGAGTGAAGTTGGTTGAGGAATTTGGAGGGAGGTAGGCTTTGAGCTGGTCCTTTAAACTTTGGAGATTGGGATTGGGGAAACTGAGGTGGTTAAAGCAGTACCTTTGTAACATGAGGATGTGTGGGGAGACCGAGCCTGGCTTGCCTGGCAAACCAAGGTGAGAATGAATGCTGTGAATTATAGGGCCTCAGAAGTGTACATATGGCACCGAGCCTAATGCTAGGATGCCCAGCTCCACATTTAGAAACATAAGGACGGAGCTCAGTGGGTGATGAAATCTCAGGCTCTTGAGTTCCCATTCTGTTAAGGATTTCCATAGATCCGGGTTCCGATTTCAACCCTGCCACCCTAGAACTGCCCTCTGGCAACTTACCAACATCTTTAAACTTCAGTTTCTTCTGTAATGTGGTGATTACAGGGTTGTCATGAGGATTGAATGAGAGAACGTAAAGTATAGCGTCAGAGGAAGTACTTCACAAAGGAGAATTAGCTCTCCACTGTTATATTGATGTCCATATAACAACAGTAACAGTCCTGTAGTGGGCAAGACATTTTACATTTCATTCAGTCTAATAACAGAAACTGGAATCTCCAAGTAAACGTAATCATTGTAGTAATTTTAGGCTTAAACTCAGTTAATCCAGTTCTCCCTCTCTTGCTGCCTGAGTTGGCGTCTATGTTAGCAGTGGGGTTATGCAGCATTACAGCACTGGGTGGCAGGCGATGGTCTGCTCCATGTTGCAGCCAGAGGCGTGAGTGGTCCCATCTGGACTTGAGTTACTTAGTCCAGCCTGGCTGCCCCTTTATGAGGACCACTCAGAAGAACTGTTTTTTTCTTCACTTGTGCTCTTTGCATGTGTTTCTTCCCTCTGTCTCCATAGTGTCCAGCATGCTACTTGGGGGCACAGTGGATGTATGGTGGCTGATGAGGCCTCTCCTCTCCTGAGGCACCATCCAGCCATTTCCACTCGGCTTTCCCCACGCCATTGTGTGGCAGACCTTCTCTGCAAACCACCATTTCCCAGAGCTCCAGAAAGACAGGGTGAACACTGCTTCCTTTTAATCCTGTATCTCCAAACTCAATGGAATGAGAGTTCTGTCATCCTTCCCCTCAGATGTGGCCCAACATGGCGCACAATCACAGCTTGCTCTATTCTTTCCCGATAACTTCCTTCCTTCCTCTCAGATACAAAAGCGGGGCGGGGAGGAGTAGAACAGAAAACTCTCTCTTAGTAAGCCTTCTTCTCCAACCTGTTATTCTCCTAGGCTTTGGCTTTTTAAACTTGGAAACTAAGACTTGGATGTTATTGTTCTCTGCATCCTTTATGGCGGGGTGACCATATATTCCTGTTTTCTCAGTGCACGTCAGGTCCTGGTATAATTAATAGTATCCCTTTTCATTCTCAAAAGTGTCCTGGTTTAGATGCTACATAGTATAGCCACCCTGTGTAGAGTGTCCCCGGCCTTGGGGACAACTCCAGCTCCCTGAGTGACAGACCCTGGTTCACTGGGAGAAATCAGCAGGGGTGGGAGTGGAGAACAAAGAAACACATTTCTGACAAAATTCCCTGATGCACCTGCCAGCTAGCTGGGGCGTGGCTGAGTCCATTTCAAAACTGGGCTCTCCTGGCTATGCCACCAGGGCCATTAGGCACCATAGGATACAGTCACTGAAATGGAGCCAACCCTTAAAATTAGGTTTTCTGAGTTTGCCTAGCATCCTCTTTAGCAGTGACATCAAGTCCCCCTCCTTTTGTGTGGTCAGTGGCTGGGTCTCTGACTTGTCCCCTTCCTTGCGGCATGTTTTCATTCTTCACAGGGCTACACATTCGGCAAAGCCGGAGAGATCCTCACCAAGCGGCTTCGGTACATGGTTTTCAGATCCATTCTGAGACAGGTATGTCTGTGGAGACTTGTGCCCCGGGATGCACAGAACTCCCCACTCGGGCCCCATGGACTCAGGCAGTGTGAGCATCGTCAGGTTACTCAGAGCAGCTTTGGCGTTACTCTTCCCTCGGTTGCACCTCACAAATGCAGCTGAACCACCGCCCAGGTGCAGGCCCTGCCATCTGTCTGTCTGTCTGTCCGTCCGTCTGCTTGCGGTGGGCAGGCACGGGATCACTGGGAGACAGCGTTTCCAGAGCAGACTCATCTCCTACCTTTGTCTCAGCAGCTGTAGGCAGAGTAGGCAGAAGCTATCTTCAATACTGCTCATCCCTTTCCTCTCTTTCTTTCCTTCTTTCCCCTGGGAAACCCGGGATACTTGTGTTTCTTCCCACCAAGTAATGCCCTCTTGAGCCTTTCTTTCCACCAATCAAAATTCATCCCCATGGCCCATTTCCTCACAGTTTTTGTCTTTTTGTTTGTTTTTACTGGAGCTAGACTGATAAACCAATTCAAGCTGTAGTACTACCAACTGATAATGACTAAATTTAATGCCACTCAAGTTTTATACCTTCAAAACCCTAATGGACAGATGTGCATATTTTCCTGGGGCAAAGGAGAGGGGAGATTCTGGGAATGTAACCCAAAGCAGCCCAGTTGAAATGAAAAACTTTCTTTAACGATCGTGAAAATTTTGTATGTCACTTTGTAATATGTTTCCATTTAAAAATCACTGATCACTTGCCAGTGAATAAAACGATGCTCCAAAGGATGCCCTCGACATGCCGGGGTACTTGAACCCTGGGGGAGAAGCATCCGTTGGCTGTGTCAGGATTTCTAGATGACATTCACCTTTTCCCAGCTGTCTTTGGTGCCTCAGCCCTTTCCTACACCTACCACTGCCACCTAAAAAGAAGACATAGTTATGGGAATTGCTGGCCAGTGACTGGCAGATCCAGGACTGAATCTGTGAGTGACAGAGCACTGAGAGTCCGAGGATTCTCAGTCAAACCATAGTTACAGTCAATTCCACTTGGACCTGAGGCTGACCCTGGGCTAGGGCCAAATGCCCCATTACCCCACCCGCCCCCAGGCCAACTCCTGGGTCCAATACGCTTTGGAAGCTGAGCTGATGGTTTATGGAATGCCCTCTCCATAAATTATTACCTCCAGCCATCATACATTAAGTGCCTGCTGCTTACAAGGCATAATACTAAGTATTTTAGTCATTCAAGCCTGAATGATGCCTGTCTTCAAGGAAGTTACATTCCAGTGGGGAGGCACGTAAGGGCTTAACAATTTTAAAAAGCAAATTGATACATACTATAATAAATTGTAGTGCTGTTTGTTTCTTTAATATTTGGGGGTAAAATGATAGATACTGCTTTAATGCAAATCACCAGTTCAGATAACTTCTTAGGAGCATAGTTGTTTTTGTAACAGACATAAATGTATACTTCAAACTTACAATATTTGTCGTATTTGTTAATTTAAAAGCATAAGTCGTTTTACAAAGAAAACCCTATTTTATGTTGAATGCGAAATTTTAATCTAGATGTCTTTTGTTGGTTTTTTTTTTTTCCCAACCCAATTCGTTTATCCTGCCCTGCACTATAGTTACCTAACTGCTTATTCAACTTCTCTATTTGGATGTCTAATAAACATTCCATCCTTAACATTTCTAAAATTGAACTTTAGAATCTCCCCACCCTACAGGGTTTATTCCTTACCTAGTCCTCCCCCATGTTAGTAAACGGCAGCTTCATTGCACCAGTTGTTCAGGCTAAAAACCTTAGAGTCTTCCTGGATGCCTCTCTTTCTCTTAACATTACAATAGCCTCCTGCCTGATCACACTGCCTCCATCTCTACCCCAATCCAGTAGGTTCACCTCCCAAAAGCCAGAGTCATTCTTCTAAAATATAAGTCAAATCACCGTTCTCTGCCCCAAAATGGAAAGCTGCCCATATCCCGCAGGGTAAAATCTGGAATCTTTGTAGTGCTTGTAAGGTCATCTATGATGTGACCCCCACTACCTCACAGACCTCATCCCCCATCGCTTCACCTATTTTCCAATACATGCACTGACCCCCTGAATAAAGGTATGAGAAGGGGCAGTGGGAGAGCCAGATGAGAAGGGAAACCTGTCTAGAGGAAGAGGCGACTTTTACAAATTCACACAAAGGTGTTTTAAGGCTAGGGCAGCCCTTAGGACACTGTTGCTCGGGCATGAACAGATTGAGTAGGCCTTTGCCTCAGGGCCTTGGCACAGGCTATTTCTCTCTTCTCTCAGGTATCCTCATCCTTTCCTTCATTCAGGTCTCTGCTCAAATGTCACCTTAGAGAGGCCTTCTCTGCTCCCTCCCTAGTCTATACAATAGTGCCTTTTCTCACTTTTTTCCCTTCTTACCCTACTCTGTTTTTCTTCATAGCATCTATTACCACCTGGCATGGTATGTGTATCTATTTATTTGTGGCTTCCATCTCTAGGAGTTAGGCTCTGTGGAAGCAGCAATTTGTCTTCTTTTGTTTACTGTTGTATAGATTGAGCACTTAGAAGTCATATTTGGAACGAACTAGGCACTCACAAATAGTTTTTTGACAAATGAAATTGTGTGTTTGTCTATGAAGTCCCTTTCTTGTCTGTTGAGAGTCAAATCCTGAGCGCTACATGCAGGAGCTACAAATGGTAAACAAAGCTGACCCCGTCATTGTCTTCAGAGCGAAGAGTTTCATAACGAAGGCCTTACGATAACAAAATCATTTTGTGTGCCACAGGATGTGAGCTGGTTCGACGAACCCAAAAACACCACCGGAGCACTGACGACCAGGCTTGCCAATGACGCTGCTCAAGTCAAGGGGGTACGCGCCTCTTTTGTGGAGTTTGTCTGAATGGGCCATTTTGAATCTCAGCGTAAAACTGATTTTTCTCATTACAGGTGTTAGTTCTCATCCTCTTTAAGAAAATATTAAATAAGCATTTAACCTACACAGTATATATCACATGCCTGATAGCAAAAATCTTAACTATTTAAACCTATGCTGTTTAGTGTAGAGATAACAACGTTTATTTTGTTATTTTGCTATCTTGTTCATGCTATGAACAAAATACATGTGGAAAAGATATTTAGAAAAGGAAGCATTTATCAGCGTATCATGCAGGATCAGTCTGTTTCAGTGAAT